GAATCTGGCAACAGGCCAGCTGCTCTCTCCCCTCTAGAAGAAACTTTTTTAATAAATGATGGAACACCTATGCAGTGGCACATGTTACTGGGACTTCACACCTCCACACACACACACACACACACACACACACACAACATATGCATTTAGTCTGCTGTGAACTTCTGACCGGCAGGTCTGAATTAATGCACTCTGAATATTGCTGTTCTCAGCCACTTTTATGTCCCACCTTTTACTTTTTTTTTAAAATAAATGAGTAAGAGAGGTTTTTTTATGGAAGAAAGACAGTTAATATGACATCTTTCTTCTCTAAAATTCACGTACTCAAATCTCACTGCATAAGAACAGCAGACTTGGACACCAAGCAGTTTGTAAAACGGGGCAAAAGTTTAAGTTAAAAGTTAAAGCTGGACATAAATGAAGGAACAAATAAATAATTGAATGAATGAATAATTCAATAATACTTCTGTCACAAAGCATAAGATATCTTCAGTCACTTTATGTTATTATTGTTAACAGACACAGCTGACGGACAGCTTGTAATCATTTTTTGTGGACTGAGAACTCCACTCTGTTCCCTACCAATAAATCTTCAGTGTTTACATCCTTTATTTAAAAAGGAACAATATGACACATGTTGCTGATTTTGAAACATTCCCTATTTAACAAGTGGTGCATTGATAAAGCTACACAGTGTACTAAAATAGATATAAATTATTAGTGATTTTTCAGTTTTTTGTTGCTGTATAAAAGTAGGTCCTCTGTACAGGGCACTACTGTAGTCCCTTAAGAGCTTTTCTAGTAGTTAAACTGATTTATTACCAAATAAATTGTTGAACAGGATCTGGACATCTTATCTGAACAGATAAGTGCACATACCCCCTTTCTGAATGACATGAAGTTCAAAATAAATTATCATTAGATAGTCATTAGACAAACGGGCACATTAGTAAAGTCAACCCCTGAATCTAATTAAGTCACACTCGTTTTCTCATCACCCATCCTTCCTCGTCTCCCCCTCATCTGCTTTATGCCGTAATTTACCATTCAGTGCAAACACAACCATATTGTTCTGGCAAATATTTGTTTGACAAATGCAACCGGGCACTGGCAGCAATTCATGCGTCCCATGAAGCTTAGCAGAAAAAACCCCACAATGCTTAAAATGCTTCGTCATGCTGAATCCACACACGTGGCTGTTGTACACATAGCGCTTGGAGAACTTACATCCCTGATGACCTGAAAGAACAATAACTGAGCAAATATTAGCTTTGTGCCATAAATCGTTTGATAGGGCGCCATGTATGAATTATATCTGTATATGTTTATTATGTTGGCTTGTTCATTGTTATCTTCCTGGAGAATAAACCTCAAAGATCTCTAATTAAAAAAAACAAACAAAACAAACAAAAAAAAAATACTTTTTTATTTTCATTTCATAATTTGCCTGCCAGAAATCAGACCCCAGTGTGGAGTTTTAGGTGGGAGAAGGTTATATTTGTTGCAATTCTAAAATATTCAAAACAAATATAAAAAGTAGGTTTTTCTTAAGTTTCCAAGGCCTATATGCCAAGGGTTTTATGGTAATCTTCAGTGTTTTGGGAAACCAATAGTCTTCATGTATCATAGTTCAATTATAGGAACTATAATTGAACTGTTGTAGGGGAAATATATCTGTAATGTTAATATACATAATAACAAATGTCTTTTTTTTACCAAAGTCCCAGAACCAAAGATTATTTTTTTCTCATAACACTGGATCAAAGTTACAAGGGAAATTGGACCAAAACGTTTTGAACCTCCACCAATTATCGATGAAGACGTCTCACTGAAAATTGCCACGAGGTGGCATTAGAAGGAAAGTTAGGGAAGCAACACAATCATGAGCATGGCGCCAACAAAAATACATAGATGGTACTAAAAATATTTCTCCTGTTTTCTCAATCTCTGCAACAAGTGGTCTAGGAGAATACCACAAGCCGCACTGACCCAGTAAAAGTAACCTAAGGGGAGTTTTATTTAAGGGCTTACCTTCAGGTGAGTCAACACAGCAATCCTTCACTCTCCATTTGTCCATAGTCATTTCTGTATTCTGCATTTGATGCAACTTGTTTAAGGTTAACTAGAAAGCCAGCTGTGAAGATATTATTGAAGTAAATTAGGATTTTGTTGCCACCATTTCAAACTATCGCTCTGATTAAATCAGCTAGACTTCAATAAATTTAGGCCACAGTTCAGTTTTATTTATTTATGGACCAAACATCTTGTTTATTTTTCAGTTTGTGTTTGAAACGACTGCATTTTGTTCTTCCCCTCTGTTTGGACAAAGCAAATCCCAACACAGAGAGCAACTGAAACTGTAAAAAGCAGAATCGGCCCGAGTCTTCTGGCTAGAGAAAAAACCTTATTTGACCAACATGTTGCTGTTGTTTTCCAGTCCAAATACCGAATGAGATGTTTGTGCCAATTAGGACTATCTTTCCTGCATTCATAATAATAATCTCTCTCAGGATTTGTTGTCATTCATTTTCAGGATGTAAACAAAATGAAACCAAAGCTCAAAATATGCGTGTGGCAAACAAAATGCTTGTTCTCTACATATTGAATGAGCAAAACGTGTTTACACATTTTACATATTTCTAAAGTTGTTCAAAAGTACAGAAAATATGAACACTTTCTCTCATTTCTCAGCCTGATTTTTTTATACATGCTTGTGTTTTTATTCATCCTTCATTAAGCATTTTTCTCCTGATTCTTCTGAATCTCTTTAACTGTTTAAAAAAGGAACATTTAAATAAATACTACACATCAATGAATAAAAAGGAAATTAGGATGATCAGCAAACTCAGTGGCCACCCCAATTATTATTATTATTTTATTTTATTTTTTGTCTAATCAGAGGAGTGGTGGTGTACCCTGACTGAATGGGATTTATCCAGCAATCAGTGTGTCCTCTAAATGGTTTTGAACCAAAATGTTAATGGAGGGTAAGGGACAACTTTCAGCTTTCTTTGCTTTGTGGGTCTCCTACCTTCGTACTTGATGATTTTTTATCAAATCTAGTACTACCAGCAAGGCAGCTCTTATACACAATTTGTACAGTCTGAGACAGAACTGCTATCAGATACTTATTCTCATGGCAGAAATGCTTGTATAATCCTTAGTTAATGATATACCTTATCTGATAATCCTGTCTGATAAAGATTCCCTGAGCAATATTCCCTAATCCTCCACATCAACAAGGAGGACTTAGAGCTTGACTTTATTGTGTCAAGTCAGGAGAAAAAAAAAAAAAAAACAGCAACAGAACAGGCCTGAGCACAAACGTCTTGAAGAAATAAATAAATGGAAAAGGATATTGTAAGTCAAATAAACCAGCTCACATCCCTATTTAAAATGATAGTTTTATTATGGTGTGAAAATATGAAAATATGTCTTTTCTTAAAAAAAATGTTCCCACATATACAAATGTTGTGAAATTGTATTTGCACAATTTAACAAAAAAAAGAAAAAAAAAAGAAAGAAGAAATGATGTGGGCAGATGCTATTATATTAAAGCATTCAGTCTTCTTTAGTTCACAAATGCCATCAATAATATTAAATCAGATTTAACTGAAAGTTCAGCTGTTTCTCTCGGATTTTCCTGACTCCTCCACATTTGCATCGCTTAGCTAAAGCCATTGTTTACCGAAAGGTTTTATTGGATCACGAAAAATTTCACTGTACAATGATGTCTGTCAAGGGAAATAAATGTATGAGAAACACCATGCAGATAAACCATGAGACAAAAACTACGAAAAGTGGTAACACCGCATAAACATATGTTCCTCAGAAATGAGTGAAAAGACAAGATACAAACTGGTCGGGAAAGCTGACAAGAAGCAGAGAGCAACACTACAAGACCTGGAGAAGTTTCCAACAAGGACTGGTTGTGTGTTACAGGAGACGACAATCTCTCTCTGTTCTCCATATGTCAGCGCTAAATGGTATGGAAGATAGGTAGAAATCTTTTCTTCATAAGAGACATCCAGGTGTGGCTAAATTAACCCAAAACCTTGTAGAAATGTTGTGGTCTGACGAAACTACACTTAAAAGTTGTGGTCACAATTTCCAATTTTTTTGTTTCCCGAAAGAACATCGTGCACAGGGAAATATGGTGGCTTGCGTTTCTTAAGGTGGAACTGAACGTGGATAAATATATTTTAATGCAGCACAGTCACTATCATTTCTGTCCATCTTAAACCACGTAAGACTGACTCAACGAGAGGAAAATTAAAGTGGGCTGATCAGAGTAAATATGAATCTGACAGTAGGTCTGCAGTGTCACCTGAAGAGGGCAGCAGACTAGAGACGTCAACTTCTGCAAGGCAAAATAGACCTTAAGACGAGACGAGCAGTTGCTAATAAAAACTGAATGCTGAACTTAAATCAAATGGTGCTTCAACAAAGTCTGAGTTTAACAGTGTGAACACTTACACTGTTTTCCCTTGCTATAAATCTATTGGTGTCTCAGTTGTTTTTTCTCCTCTCTCTTTTTAATCATAAATGTCACATTATTTATAGCAAATCTCATTTATAAAAGCTAAGGCGTCTCTCTTGTAAATGAGATCTTGGATCTTAATGAGACAACCTGTGTAAATAAATGAATAAAAAAAGGATATGACGTTTGTTTAATCTTTTTTTTTAGATCACAATAATATGGCGTTTAGGTGTGTGCCACAACTATACAAGGAAAAAAAAAAAGAAAAGAGCTTTATCTTTCACTTATTAAAAATGTTAGTACAGTCGTTGAAATTTGAATCATAGTGAAATCTGTTTTACCTTTAAACCTAGAAACTTTTAACCAGTTTACATGAAACTTCTTGAAGTCATTTGGTTAAATACTGGAAACTCGTGACTAAGCCGGTATCCAGTTTTCAGAAAGCTTCATTAAAACAAATTATAAAAACGTCAAATGTATCACATTCGGTGTCTTACTGCATTGCTGCCAGTCGAATGCCCTATCAGGTTACCTCTCCACGGATATAAGAACATCATGTGAGTGATTTGGTCACACGGGGGCAGAATATTGCCTGCATTAGTCGAGACACATGGAAATGGTTTGCTTCCCACACTATTTAAAGCCTTTTTGTGGTGGTGAAGAGAGCAGCCAGATTGACAAGACCAGCAGCAGCATCACACACGTGCAGTAAGTACCTCCTGTCTCCAAGGACATCTTTCATTTTGTACCAAATGTATTTGATTAGAATGTAGTTTTACTGATCTTTAAGATATTGCTGAATATTTTGTTTTAATTTAGAAAAATAGATTTTTATGGGTTTAATGTGCTGTAGTTATAAATTATATCTAATAAGTGTGCAATCTGAGTACAGAAACGTTTCTCTCCTTTCTTTGTTAAGGATTATAATCAATTTTTTTATTCCTTTATGGCTGATATTTTTAAATCATTTAGATAATTTGGACTGAGATGATTAGATGTTATGATTGCTTAATAATATATCTATTTTTTATGCCTTGTAATGTCATTCTACGTTTGACACTCTACTATTGGTCAGTTATTAATCTATTTAAGACTCCTAGTTGTTGCTTTAGAGTAATAAATTTATTATTTATATTTGATTTGTAATTCATTCTCATAAAAAAGGTCTAAATAGAAAATGCCAAATGAATATGTAAAGAAAAGAAGGAAGAAAAAACAGAAAATAATAATAAATTGTTTAAGAAAATCTTAAAAGTAGTTTTATGCCAATGCATATGGACCAGCAAACTTAGCTTTGTAAGGCTATTAGTTCTTAACGACATAACAAGATACTTTACAGGGAAATCTTTGTTTTCGTGAAGCAGCCACATCGCCAATTTGTTTTCTTGCTTTGCTTTAGAAATTGCTCAATCAGTGCCCATTAGTGCACTTCCTGGACACTTGGCTCCTTCAAGCAAATGTGCGACAGGCTCAGTTGCTTGAACCCAATGGCACACATTTACCGCAGCTGCTAGGAAATGATGGGCGCGATCACATTTTCTGGTCTCTTTATCAAATTTACAATATTAGAGAAAATCAAATTGTACAGAGGGTTTTGTTGATTATTACGGAGTCGCCTCTGCTGCAGAGGACGTGCTAGAAAACATAGTTCGATAGGAGAATCAGCTAGAGTTGCGGTAATGCTTAAGTGCAATGTTAACTCACATACAGTACAATGCTAAAATAGATTCAAAATCACTGTTTAGGACGTTCTGACAATAAATAAGCAAATAGGTTACAGCTGCAAGGTGAAAATAAAAAAAAGAAAACCATCTTAATAGACATGATCATTTCTGTTAATGCATAAACAGCACTTTTACTGTGAGTGCTTCTCATCGTTGGACCAGAACAACATTTTATTAGAATGCAGGGACTCCCAAAGAGAAGTGATTAAAACTGATGGCTTTTGGTGACCACAGTTCGCTGAGCCTACAGTTAACCATCAAACTTTAATCTAAACTGACTCATTCTGTCAACCCTAATAGAAAAGTCCTTGTTAGAGTCAATGTTCAGGGCCACTGGTCCATGTTAGATTGCCTAAATGTTTGCTGTGAACTGTCACTGACTGTGCAGAAATGTGGCTTTAAATCAACCGGGCAGCAGAAACAAGACATTTCCACGATGTAACGTTTCAGCCAGACGAGGAAGAAGAAACTCCAATGCCCATGTTATCACATGACACGGCAGCAGTTTCTGAAAGCAAAGCTTCTGCAATATGTGAAGAGGATTCTTGCGAAATTTTACATAGCAAGAAGTAATTTATGATTTGACCTTTGGATGTGACCGATGGGCTTTATGCAACACATTATAAGGTCTCTTTCAATCTTGCTCACCCAGGATCACCCTGTCGGCCACCTGGGACGGATCCAAACGTGCTGCAAAAAAGCTGTGAAGGACATTGTTGTTTTCTACAACTGAAGGGCTTCAGCCTCCAAAATACTCAGTGGATCTGAATGCCTTTCTAGGTAAAGACAAAGTCATATACTTTCCCCTTTTGGCAACACAAGTGGTTGGCTAAGTACATGATCTGAATGTCCCGTCAAAGACCAAATCTTTGTTCATAGCCATGTTTGGTATAGCTTTTGCATTTTGTCATAACACTTCACCGAGAGACTACTGTATTGACTTGGTTTTCTGTTTCATGCATTCTGGATGTTTGGATGTCATAAATACACAAGTGTCGCAAATATAAAGATGTCATTGCTCTCTCCATTGACAATTCATGTGTCGTCAGCTAAGTGATGAACTTCAGCAGAGATGTGGCGCGCCAGACCAGTTGTTACACGTACGTCATAGAGGATGAAGATTCAGCCCTGGCAAGTCTAAATGCAGTCGAGGTGAGGATAGTTTTTCGTCGAAAAACTCTTAACTCCCTTATTCCATACATTGAAACATGAGTCGCAATAAAGGCATCAGACTTTACTTCAATTTTTGCTACACAGACTCGAGACTTGACTCACACTAAAGGTCTAAGACTCTATTCTGATGCTCATAATTGTCGACAAAGTCGATGTTTCTCAAACTCACGTTTTGATTTACTTGATAAACGTAAAAATGATGGTAATCATCTTTATCCATAAATCTATTAAAAATATAATGAATGTCAATGCTTGGTTACAAGACATAAAGAGGTTTAAAGCCTTCTCCCTTCTCAGTTATCACATATTTTTGTTATTACATGGATCCGTAAAGGTAATTTTATACAGTAATAAAATCAGAAACAAACATTGTAACATCTTAGCAGACGATTCATCTTTATTTATCAATTCAAAAATATAAGCTAATCATATTCTATGATTTATTGACTACAAAAATAAGTTGTTAAAATAAAGCCTTGTCCTTTTGCTATTCCCTAACACTTATTTCTCATGATTTTCCCTCAGTGAATAGATTATAAATCTGCCATGTTTTTTGTCCCCAATTGGCTACAATCTTCTCTAACACAGAGAACTGAGCAAACAAATGGTTTGCTCTCTCTGCCGTAAAAAGCCCTAGTTGCATGCCTCATCCTGTTGATCCTTGGCTATTATTTAGATTGCTGTGATTATTAAATGTGGACTTAAATAATTAATTAGTGCTGTATTTTTTTTTTCCAGCTTGAACAAAAAGTTCTTTCTTGTTTGTGGTGTTACAGACTTTTGATGCATTTTGTGAGTGTTTTAGATCCAATAAAGCACAAACTCGTGTTTCTTCATGAAAGCTCTCATTTGTGCAATTAGAACCGACTGAGAATACAGGAAATAAGAACTGCAAACCAGTATTGCACTTTCTTGAAACGCAAATATTTTGCTTGCAGATGATACCCAATTATTTTTATTTTTTGTCCTTTTAATTATTTATTTGAAGCATTGTTTTTGCAAAAGTAGTTTCATAATTCATCAGTCGACAACTATGCAGGATGTTTTCCTATTCCATGCAGGGGCCAAAAATCTGTCTACTGGCTCAAGTAAGAGTTGTGCGACTTTTTTACGGTCATCACCAAGCTTGTTGTGTAACTGTTTGATGCTTTCAAACATTCTTCTTGACCAAATTGCTCATTAGAGAAACCTTAAAGTTTTTGTTGAAGACATTAGCAATTTTCTCTTGTTGGATCAAACAATCAATTTCCCCAAAGGGAGCAAATCATTGAAATTGCTAAAATTCCCAAGAAAATAAGCAATGAATAAGAAAGAATGTTTTCAAAGACAAACAGCTTCTTTTCTCTGTCAGTACCTATGTATTTAGCTCAGATTGCACCAAAAAGTCAGCTTTAAGAAATTAAAGCCTAGGGCCAAATATGAAAAAAAAAAAAAAGCACCCGATACACAAACCAAGCGCCCACAGAGTGGATCAGTATCATGATCATGTTATATATTGCAATCAATATTTCTGTGCAGTTGGCAGAGAAGGGGGACCTGACGCTTCTAGAGAACCTGGTGAGGAAGAGCCCAGAGGTCCTCTGTGAGAAAGATGAATGCGGAGCTAGTCCCCTCCATCATGCTGCTGCAGGGGGCCACGTCTCCCTCATTCGATTTATCACCTCTGTCATAGATCCACAAGGTAAGCGTGATTCAGTTGTATAGTGCGTTGCTTCCTGCTCAATAGGAATGATCATAATCCTGTCTTTGGGTACTTTGAGTAAATGTTTTTCTTTTTTTTTTTTTTTTTACTACTGTCGGTAATATGACGCATCATAAAGAGATCAGGATTTAGAAACATTTGCATAAATGTCTGTGTTTTCACTTGTGTTTGCGTGTCGTGTCACAGAGCTGAACAGCTGTGACGACCAGGGCAACGTCCCTCTGCACTGGGCCGTGGAGAGGAACAAAGCAGAGAGCTGCAGGGCCCTCATGGACCTGGGAGCCAACCCCAACATCCTCAACAATGCTCTCCTGTCCCCCCTGCACCTGGCGGTCAGCCTCGGACACAACAGCCTGTTGGGGGTGAGAAGGCTGAGAGTGCACAGTTAATGTCGCAGTCTAACTTTTTGTTGTTTTTGAATTCTTGACATTTATCACTTTACAACTCACACATATTTTATTTTTAGTGGCTGGGAAATAAAAACCCATCTTTTTAACTTTATTTCAATTTATACATTGTTATTTTAATTTACATGTCACCCTTCAACTATTGAACAAGTGTTAGAATCTTTGGTAACACTTTATTTGAAGGGCTGTGCATAAGTCTGACATGGCACTGTCAAAAACATGACATAACACCTGTCATGAACATAAAGTAGTCTTTATGAATGTCAATGACAGTTGTCATGAAGTGTAATTTGGTAAATAATGACACTTTTAATGTAAAGTTGCTCTAAAAGTTGCATTGAAAGTCTATTAAAAATGCAAACTTTGCATTAAATTGTCATTATTTACAAAACCATGCAAAGTTGGCACTTTTAATGGGCTTTTAATGCAACTTTTAGAGCAACTTAACATTAAAAGTGTCATTATTTACCAAATGACAACTGTCATAGACATTCATAAAGACTCGTTCATGTTTATGACAGTGTCATGTCAGTCTTATTCACATCCCTTCAAATAAAGTGTTACCGAATCTTTTTTTTTTTTTTTTTTTTTGGGGGAAAAAAAAAAAGGGGATTCACC